TTAAATGTCCCTTTCCTGAAAAGTTAGCCAGCCAAAATTCCTTGCAAAACAAAGACAGTGAGAAGACGATCGGAGCAACAGAAGAAGAAAGGCAAAGGGAAAAAAGAGAGCGGGAGAGAAAGATCGATATAGTTTCGTAAGAGATGTCCAATTTTGGCTTCTATGAATGCGCCAAAAAAGCTTCTAAATTAGTGTACGTCCAATTTAGCAGTCTTGTGTTGCAAATCTCTTTTTCAGCCATTCCCACATCATGCTAACTGGCTAGCCTCAGTAATCGGCTCCTGCTAGCCTGCATAACAGGCGTGCGTTTTTCAGGCGAGCGAAGGCAAGCCCGAAGCCGGAGAGAATGCAAGCGCGAACAGCGTGAGGAGCGTCATTAAGGGGGAGGTCTGGGGCGGAATGCAACAAAACAATGGTATGTGGACAGGCTGTTGTTTTTTCTGCGTCTTCCCCATCGCGCTTGTCTGGCGCTTCTCACTCACTTCGCGCTTGCCTTCGCTCGCCTGCAAAAACGCGAAAAAAATAAGGCCTGTTATCCAGGCTACTAACTGGTTGAGAACCGGTCCAAAAAGGCTGGGTTTTCTTCCACTAAAATTGGCCGTCAAAAAAGAGTTAAAGGGGCTATGCCAAGCTATTTGCTAGTTCATTTTAAAAACCTAATATGGGCTTCATTTCACATCAATTCAGTTCAAAAATAATGGTCCAGTTTTGTTATGTAAGACTATAATTAGGCACGGTCTGTTGCTACTGATGTCCAGGATGGACATGGACTGAAAATTGAGAAAAATGGGCCATCTTTTTCAAGTTTAAATGCATCACCCAAAAAGATATTTTTGGTTAGTGCTCCCTTATAAAATTATATCTTCTTCATACCCCACATGTAACTCTACACTGAACATTTTTTGACTGGGTAAAGGCAGTAAGTAATGACTTTAGCACAGAATCAGCCTAAAACAACAAATATACTCGCCACATAGGGCCTCGATTTGGGGTCTTCGTTCCCTTTTGTCTGAAGCTCTTTCCTTCTTTACTTTGGGAAACGGTTAGGCGTAAATAAAACCGCCGATCCCACTTACTTACCTCGTTATGTTATGTAGCTCCTTAATCGCTATCAACTACCCTGCGAGCAGAGGCCCTTCGATCTTCCTAGATAAGTTGGGAAGAGGAAGAGAAGGGTAGCTATCAACTAAATAATAATTCGATCGGACGTTCCGATGTGAAGGCGCGAGCTGGGACATTGCGGGAACTGACGTTAGTACTCCTGAGCAAAAGCAGACATTTCTTTGAACAAAACTCGGGTCTGTTGTAAACTGAAAATTGTTGTCAAGTTACGCTTTTACTCTGCGTCACCTTACTGCCCGGTTAGTAAATGGTACTTACGTCGATACAAGTTCCTTGCCGCATACTGCGATATGCCAGGGTTGTCAAGGATGACCTTTCTAATACTTCTCTTTTCAAGATGATGCTACGTTTTGTAAGCACTCGACATGGGTGGGAGTTGATTAGAGCAGCTCAAAAGAGGTGAACAAGGAGTCTTATCTTCCATGGACAAATCCTAGTCGCATCGTCGTGAAAGGGATTTACTCTGTTGGAGTACAGTTGAACCTCCATGTGCGACTACCTCCCTTAAGCGACCACCTATCCAAAACACCAAAACCCACCAAGTTTAAGTCTTCCAGCTGGAATCTCTCCTGCAAGCGCCAGCGACCACTAATTGGGGCTGACGGTTTAATGATTTTGCATTGTTTTTAAACTTTTGTAAGCGATCCCTTGTGGTAGAAACAACATCAACATGGAACTGCACATATCGTGACTTGGAAATTGCATGCAATAAATTCTCTTCCTTAAAGTAGATGTGTCCAGTTTTCTTCTCAAAGAAACCTCCCGTGGTTCGATTCAGGTAAGAGACCACCTCCCGTTAGCGACCACTAAGTCTTCGCATTTTGGGTGGTCGCTTTCGGGAGGTTCGACTGTAGTTTCAGCGTCGGTTGGAACTTGCTTTGTTTTATGAGTTGCGCGTGTAGATTTACACACTAAGGCGCTGCTACATTATATTTTGAAATCACTGAACAAATATCATTTTGTATTTGAACGAAAACGCCCATTGGCAGGTGGTACAACTACGAGATGATCTAAAAAGGGCAGTTTTGGCGGGAAACATGTTTCGGATTCGTTTCGGAGGAGAGAAACCGCTGGACGGTATGAACTACGATGACTCAGCTGTTTCCCAGGGCCTTAGGTAGCAACCTAATTATACCTCTATTTGTGAAAAAGTAAAAAAAAATAATAAACCAAGGGACAGTTTGTTGTTTGTAATACGTAGTAAAAAAATCAGATTTCAACATCTCTGTCAAGAAAATGCTAACTTTTAGTGCGTGACTGACAGGCATGCAAAATTAGTATCCCTTCTTTCTGAAAATAAAATAAAACGAGAAACAAATGATGTTGCGAACAACGCATTGCCTGTTCAAAACAAAATTTCCATAAAATTTCATGAGATAAAAATCAATAAAAGAAGGCGGACCTGCTCGAGACGTCGTTGCGTGACATTGTTACTCTAACTGTTAGTTTATGACTTCCTCACACGAGTCGAAGTGTATCCCGTTCGCAAAAAACCTCCTTCAAAATAAAATTTCAAGGAAAATGTACCTACCTATTTTAGATATACCAGAGGCGAATTTAAGATGATTCAGATGGATGTTAATACAAGGAAGTTAGGAAAAAAAAACAGAGACATGGGATATAGTTTACATAATAGTCCGGCGCTTTTATATAACGCTTCTTCGAGTTCGTTGTTATTTACTTATTTATTTATTTTTGTGAACGGTTTAATAATTACTCTGATATTTTAACATAAACTTTATCAAAAAACGTTTTCTTGCTTCGTGATGTTTCCGAACATCACACACTGACGCTGAATTGAAACAAAACCGGCTGCTGCAACATTTCTTTACAAATTTGACTTATGCAAATTTGTGACCTTTAGCCACTGGTGGTCACGAAACTGTTTATTTTGTAAAGACGAATCTGGAATACCCAGATTTTTTATTTCATATTCTGTTAATATAAGAGCTGAACTTTGTCCTAGTATACATTTTGGCTAGGTATCACACATACCAAGGTGAGTTTTTTGCCTCTGAAGTTGCTCATTTTTTACCCATTTTAAAAAGTCCGCTTGGTGGTAGTTTTTAAAAAACCGTAAAAAATTCAAAATCGTGTTTATGGTTTAAAACATACCATGGATAGAAAGAAAAGATAAAATGCTTTTAAACAAAAATATTTCTGTTTTATAGCTTTGAATCTTGCCTCGGTACCGACGCGATAAAGTAGGCCATTTTTACTCTAATTTTTGCATAATTAATTAGGTAAAAACCGCTATTTTCGTTTTTCCTCGTTTTCTCAAACACTATAGATTCTTGAAAGTTAAAAATATTTTTTTCGAGGATAGTTCCCCAAAGGGGTTTTTCTGACAAATTATCAGAATTTTCGATTTTTTTAGCCTGGCCAGCGATTCTCGATATTTACAGTCATGGGCTCTTAAGTATTGCATCCTACACCATGAACCGTGACGTTCACCGTTTCGGCTCTCACTGCTATCTGTGACGAGAAGCCAATTATTAGCATATTCCGGATATTTCTTCGGAAAGTAATCGCGAGTTCTTTTTGATGCAAATTTATATCTTTTGCTAGTTGTGCACGTGCATATGAAACTTGAAAACAATGCCAGTGAATAATGAGGACGCTCACTTGTAAACACAAAATCTGGGGGGAAAATTGGTTATGTTTGAGGCCCTATTTAAAAGCCTTCCCTGTTTTCAATGTTCTTGAAACTTGCAGGGAATATTTCTTGACGATTTATCTCGGGATTGCCGAATTTATAAAAAAATTTATCGAGCAGTTTTTGGAAAAATGCGAAATTTTTAGGCATGGACCAAATTACGCCCAAAAACTGTATCAAAAGCAGCTGAATGCAAGTTAATAAAATTCCTCTTACTCGCGATCGCCCAGAGAAATTCCCCTCATTTTTTGTATACAGTTTTCAATGGAATCAAACCACTACGAGATGAAGCCGCAATTCCAAAGCTTATCATTTTCTTAAAATATTAGCGAATTGTGCGGCTAACATGCTATTTCACTGCTTTGATGATTCTTAAAACTGCATTTCAAAATATTTCGAAAACGCTCTCATAGAATTTCTTCAAATTTTGCCATAATGGAGGCAATTATGGCAGGTACATACTCCCTTAAGCGATCTCTTCAAAAAACTCTTGGTACAGAGAAACACAACGATAAATGAAAAACGTAATGGCGTCATTATGTTGCCATGGCGACTCCGATTGCAATAAAACCCAGATCATAAGAAATTTTCATCTTTATGTAATACAGTTGTGGCAACATTTTTTCCATATCTTTACTCATGCCGACGTAGTTAATGCTCAAAGTTGGGTGGTATCAACCCCAAAAAATCCAGTCGAGCCACCTTAAACCTGAAAAAATTCGAAGGAATGGTAAATACACGGCAAGCTCAAAAATTCATTAGATTAGTTTGCCAATGAGGATTACTGTGTAGAAGTTCTCAGTTAATAGCCAAGTGATTGTATGGGATCAGATCATGCGCGACTCAATCCAGAGGACCGTTCTTGAAGCTACCAGGGCTTACTCTCTGGATAAAGAATCATTTTTAATCACAACAATTTCATAACTAGAATCAGCCGCACTCAAAACGAAAAAACTTCAGGTACTTGTTTCTCCTAAGGACAAACCACGCAAACGTATGCAGTTTGATCGACTGTCAACACTGCACTCCAGGCGAGGCTGAGCCAAACTGATCAGCACAATAACTCAGCTTAGAAAAAATAATTTAATTGAAATTATTTGCTTAGCATACACTATCACTGAAATGCTTTATTTACTATTGCCACTTCACGAATATTACGACAAATTTTCTCAAATAGTACTGTGTACTGTATAACCTCTTTCTTGTCCATTTTTTTTCCTGACAAGGTGCCAATGCGGTGAAGTCAAAATACGCATGTGAGAATAAAAAGTTGAGACTGGAATGCCAAGATCCCTTGACGATCCGAATATACACGGCAAAATTCGGACGCCTGGAGTCTGGAAACGCCATCTGTCCACATAAAAACATTAGTAATCTGAACTGCCAGGCGCCAAATACGCGGGATAAAATGATTGAGAGGTGCGCGCACAGACGCAAGTGTACAGTCAGAGCAAATAGCACATATTTTGGGGATCCATGCCCCGGGACTTACAAGTATCTGGACGTTATATATGGTTGTGGTGAGTATTAATTTTGTTTTCTACTCATCTAATCTCAGAAGTTTATATAAACGTAGGTAAAAAACAGAATAACAATGTGTTGTACTCTCTTTTTGTTGCCAAATGCACGCCATGGGTTGAACCCTGGTGGCCAAAAATCCAAGTGAAAGAATGGAATTACGATTAAATTTTGTTTTAAGGTGTTTCATATTTTTTTAATAATCTGAGTTAATATTCCGATCCAATGCAAGGTTATTCGTTAAAGCGTTAGTGGTTTCGGTTCCATTTCTCTGTCTCCTCTGTATGATCATTTGGTATTACCATAGTTAGTAGAGGGGACTAACTATGGTATTACTAACAATAAAATGGCAAACCGAAAGTCAGGCACAATACTGAACTTGTACGATACCTTTTTTCTTGGCAATGCTTCTAACCCTTCTGATAAATGCAAACGAAGGAAAAAAGATGCAAATATAATCTTCTGGGCTAGACTCTTTTCTCGTACTTTTATTCGAGTACTGTGCCATCTGGATCAGGCGCGTAGCTGGGGTTTGAGAAGGGGTGTTCGTACTGATGCGAATATTTCTTAACAGCGGGAAATACTGCGAGCGCCAAAGGTCGAACCTCTAGGACTTTCTTGGGGCAATTTGCTCTCCCAGAAAATGTTGAAATCTAGAAATCTGGAAATGCTATTTTCAGTAGTCTCCACGTGAATATTTCAAACTCGATCAAGTCTAAAACAACAGGTATTTTTAGTCGTAACAACAATATTTCCGTTTGACTTGGAACATTCATACATAGTGATACATACCGGCTAAGTACACGAAACGTTTTACAAAACTTGACGTGTGCTGCAAGGTATCTCTGACCAAAAGCTTAAGGTCTCGGTAAAGGAAAACGAGGTGCCACAGAACAAATTCTAGTCGCGCAAGTATTTTCGCTACAAAGGCAAGTTATATATCAAATTAAAGCTAAAAGACTAAATTACCTTATAAAAGATTTTATTTTATCGAATTTAAAAAGGTGCTTAAGTTTTTTGCTCTCGAACTCAGAGGTTTCGAGTTTACTGCTGAAGCTCCAGCCCTTTCGCGTTGTTAAATACTCACTTCCTTTTTATTGCATCTGATTGACGGATAAAAGACCTAAAAAAGGGTATGAGGAATTTTCCGATTTCCCTTTGTAACTCATTTTATGTCAGTTTTTTTTGCGTAAATCGCGCTCGAGATTCGACTTTTTAGTTTGAAATGCAATAATTCCGCGAATACGAGACATATGCAAATTTCCTCACACCCTTTTTTAGGTCTCTTGTCTGTCAATCAGATGCAATAAAAAGAAAGTGAATAAGCGCCTTTTTAAATTCGATAAAATAAAATCTTTTATAAGGTAATTTAGTCTTTTAGCTTTAATTTGATATATAACTTGCCTTTGTAGCGAAAATACTCGCGCGACTAGAATTTTTTTCTGTGGGCACCTCGTTTTCCTTTACCGACACCTTAAGCCCCTAGTTCCGCGGCTCCGCTGTCTTTGTACTGAAAGCAGCATCAATCGTCATTATGTATTAAACACGTATCACCTCGGTCCCCCAAAATCGTATTTCCCGCTTTTCGTCTTTCGAGAATCCATTTGTCAAATCCGGAACGCCTGTTTAGGAAATACAGTATATGGTGGGATTAGTTTGACTACATATAATACTAGGTCACTAGGATATACTGGGGCCTCAGCATTGGCTACTTAATTATCAACTCACAACAGGACTATTCCGTTTCGTAAAGCAAACTTTGCAATTGCATCATCCTCGGGTGGAGGCCTTCAAATAAATTGACAACTTTGTCAAGATCGATAGGCATATCGTTCTTGATATGCATGATAGCCAGTGAGGAGAGCCTACTCTAGCCCATGGTACATCTCATGTAATTGTTTAGCCTTCTCATTGTGCTGATTGAACGCTCGCACTTGCACAATGAAAATCCTCCATCTTTGACCAGCGAACCCCTCGGATCTTCCCTCCTACGCGCCTGCTGGATATTCTTGTTGTCAGTGCTGAGCGCATTGCGTTCGAAGGCGTTCACTGGGTATCAAAACGTCCTCCCTTCTCCTTATCCTTCGTGCTTCGAGTTCGCGCTCACTTGCCACAATTTTATCCCTTTCACTTGGGCGGATCCTAACTTTGTTTCAGTCTAGTCGGGTGACCTAATTTATTTGACGTAATAAAGAAATTCTTCGGTGATCCCAAGAGAATTAATTTCATTGACAGTTTGGGACCCAACGAAGCCAACGAGAACGACAAGCCATGCAACGAGTGTCACCAAAACGATAGAAGCAACAAGAAGCACATCCACGTTTCAAACTTCACTAAACACGACAAGTAACAGCATAAACGTGAATATCTCAGCCACTAGAAACTGGATAGCGAGAGTGACCACCAGAGGCTCTGTGACCACAGCTTCACCTCCAAAGCCTGCAAAGAAACCAAAAGACAAGGCGTCAGGTAGCAGAGGTGAGAAGGAGGGCATTTTGTCCCTGCTGAGATCTCTGTACCTCACATACAGGTTTATCAAAGGTACGCGGTGAAGGAACCTGAGCTCTAGCGTTGTGGTCACGTGAGTCAAGACGAACGTAATGACACACGACATAATTTTTACTTTGATTTTAACATTTACCCATACCTTTAGATTCATTCTCCAGACAAGAGAGTAATCCTAAAATCCGTTGCATTTATTATCCGTTCCAATTTGTAAACAGTTTCATCATCATAACATCTTACGTTGCCCAAGGCGAAAGAGTTTTGTATTCAGTTTAAGCGGAGAAACACAAGTTCCCTATAGGGTTTCTGTATTCTACCAGTAAACTAGGAACCTATTGATCATTTTCCCACCTAATCCAAAGCAAAGAAAGATTTAAACAATATTTTCCCTTTAAAGTGCGTGTGCATTCATATTATTGAGCGTGTTGGGAAAGAGCAAGAGTAAGAAACTCACGTGACTGTGACGTCAGAGCCAGGGTGGCACTGTAGAGTCTTTGTTTTTCCATTATCAGCGAAAATTTATGATGCTGTTTTTCTCAATCCACAATGTTTTTTCTGTAAGCCATGAAACAGACAGTTTTGTTAAATGAACTATAAACTAAGTTAGCAAAAGCGGACAACTTTTTTAAAAAATGAATTATAAAATTAACTAAAGAAACATCTTATGAAAATAAAAAATGAACATACCAAAAAAAATTATTAAAATAATAAGTCGTCGATGATAAGAGTCACCAAAAAAATTAAGACAAAATTCACTTCTGAGTTCTAAATGAATGTACGGTGAAGAAATTAAGACTTGATTGACGTGGTTATCATTGTTTTGGACAAAGCGCTTCATTTCTCGACCAGGTAATTTTTACCGTTCATAAATGGTGAAGAACCTAGACTAGAAATGTACAGTTTTTGTTCAAAATATCATGGAGTTTCACTGCAAATAAAAATATTTAAGTATCAAACTGTATTCGAGTCCTGACTTAATTCACAAAATATTCCTTATTAATAAATGAAACTGAAAAAGAGTTAACGAAATCATACCACTAAACAACTGTGAAGAAAACAAGATGAGATTTTCTACTGTGCCATGTTCCCGCGACTGAGGTAAACTATTTTAAGAGGATAATATTAAAGAAACCATTAGGACGCTAAAAGACATATAGAAATTGATTTATTTTGTATTTGTAAGACAGTGAAAAATCGTGCTGCTTTCCAGTTTAAAAGTAAATTGTCCCGGGTACTTAAAATGCGTCTATTTCCTAAAGGTTTCTTAATTAAAATTTATATGCACCTAAAATAATTTAATCGTAAAAATACTTCATATCCTAACAATTAAAAAGACAGATAACAGGAAAAAAGGTTCAACAAGAACGATATCTTACGTCTTAAATATTTCTCTTTTGTGACTGGTATCCTGATGAATTAAAAGAAGACGAAGCAAACAAAAGAGAACGAAAAAGAATACAAGGAAAGTTTTGGGCTTTTTTAAAAGGGTAATAAACTTTAAATCTATCAATCGTCACCACCATCTTCATCTCATTTTTATTGTTTCACAGCCACCACTACACACACATCTTTACGATCAGGACGGCACCGCCACCACCACCACCACCACTACCATTATATTTTTATTTTGCTTCTGACATTCGTTGTCGTCCCAACGCCAGTGCCACCAACTTTAAAGTCTATAGCCTGCCTTTACTTTTAAGAGTGTTAAATCTTTGAAAGAGATCTTCTCGTTAGAGCAATATGAAAATGGTTTTTCAAAGGTTTCACGCTAATGAAGGTGTCTGGCCTGTTATCTTGCGAGTAAGCTCTGACAGGGGAACATTACGTCAGAGTGTGATTAAAAATCAGCCAATCCAGGAGCCTAGGCTCCTGGCTAATCAGCATTTCGCATCCCACTCTGGGATGCAGATATTCAAATTTAAGAGACGTAAGTGCAAGCTCTCCTTCCCTTTGCCCTTCCCTACCCCCTTTCTGCCTGAGAGCCCCAGAAGAGCTTTCTCGCAGGCTATAAAAATTCAGTAAACTATTTCACAAAACAAGGTCACCTTTAACCTAGCTTGTATTCAATTATGACCAGGGCACTGAGCACACAACTCTTAATTTTTTTTGGCCTATTTGGTCAGAGCCACGTTTCTTTTGTTCTACGACCACCACAACCACCAAGACTGCCAAGGCCACAAAAACTCTAACGTACAATTCCACTTTTCCAGTTTTTCCAGTTCAACGATTTCTCTAAACTATTTTATTATTGGTATACTTACCCATTCATTTGTTTATCTTATTGCTTAAACACAGATAACCCGCGTGATACCCTTGTTGTATTCTTGTCAGTAGTAGCCGGAGGCACGATTGGATTGCTGTCCTTGCTATTAACAATGTACGTTGCTAAAAGCTTTCGAAAGAAAAGGAAGCTTGCTAAGGAAAGGAAGAAGGCTAACCAAGGGAAAGATGGAAGCAAGATAAAGAGTGTTACCATAGAAATACAGGGTAATGAAGAGGAAACGAAAGAAATCAACATCAATCCAGGAGATATTATTATTATTGACCATAATGATGCCAATCAATCGGGCAGCGAGGACCTTGGTTACCTTTCGGAAATAGTCCGATTTTATAATAGCCAAAACATCGGGAGTGACGATCAAATATCGATAAGAAAACCATTATCCTCTTGTGATAGTCCATCAGTGATATCAACGACTGAGAGTAGAGACAGTAAATATGATTCTTCTGGAATCAACGTCAAACAGTGTACTTGCCAACAAGGGCCGTTACTGCGCCCATCTTCCCCGGTTGAAGAAGAAAGGTAGAGAGTTATTAGAACGCGTTACAAGTAAGCATGACAGCTATTCGGTAAAGGCTTCTTAGAAAAGGAAACGGCAAAGGAAAAGATTTCTTATGCTCTTGAATGACGCAGGACCACCAGTCATATAGCAGACGACACAGCAGACTAGGTAGCGGTCATTATGAGATGCCAGTTGCAGCACAAGTTTTACCTGGCATTCGGCAGTCCATGAATTGATTGAATATGCGTCCAGAAGTGAAGAATTTGTAAGGAATTGCACTCCGTCTAAATTTGTCTTGATCACGGAAATGGCCTTAAAATCTTTATAACAACACGACTAAGGTCAAATGAGGCTTGTCATTCTCTATTCCTCTCACCTCTTCCTCACAACCGAAACAGTAACAGGTAAACGTCGGGAAACTACCGCAGTTTATTGTTATGTTCTACAGCATGGCATGAAGAGCTTCATGATCTTCCTGCTCTACTTGCACGGTTCTTGGTCAACAGTTCTAAATTTGTGGTCGATAAGCAGTCCACTCATGTCTGCTGCTGATGGAGTCACCAGCTCGGGGCAGAATTGCAATTTTCTTGATCAAAAGACATTTGATATCAATCAGTCACTTCCCCCAGAAATCTTCACGTTTTAATAACATACACCTCACCTCACTGATACATGCACATGACTTTGTAATTAACACTGCATTTTCAGTATTTTCCTTGGGATTTTAAGGGTGACCAGACCTTTCTTTGGGAGGTGAATACTGGTGGGCGGCATGGCAGTAAGCGACGTGCTTTACTAAATACTCCACTTGCACATCTCCCATAATGCACCTTATTTGCCCCCCAGGATTTTGCACAACCTTTGTTTTTCATTTCTCCTGGGTACTACAGCAGTCCCAAGAGAAATTGAAAACAATGCTTACGATGCAAAATTTTTGGGGGCAAATAAATGGGAGATGTGCAAGAAGCGTGTTCATTCAAAAATACTGCGGATACTCCTACCAAGGTGATAGGATTCATATTGAATGACACAGATGTAATTTACGCAGAGGCTGGGGAGATGAGAATGAATTTATGATAACCATTGCAGGAGCCTCTGTTGAGGAAAGAGACTAATATCAGAATGCTACTTCAAGTGGAGCGATGGTTGGACACCTCCCTGTTAAACGTTTAATTGGTTGGTTTAGCTAAATCAAAACCCAACCATATTATTTATGTAGACGTTGAAACAATATTGTCTTGTTTTGCACGATGAAACAGCACTCTTTCCGTGTTAATAGAACGCCATTTTAACGGTGACAACATTTGACCACAACTAACAGAATTCATTTGGTTTTTGTTTTCTTATTAAGATTTGCCAATTCCATTAGCAGTAATTTGTACAAGAGAACACTAAACTGAAGGATTCTGATAGTCGCAATTAAATTTCGTAATTGTGCTATTTTCTTATTGCGGCACTTGTGGAGAATCATAATTTTACCCCGATAAATCGGTTGTAGTATAATGGCACAATTTATACGTCTTCTGAATGCAGCTATGACCTTCAGCAAAAGACAATTATCACTTAATCAGTCTTGATTTGATTTCCTAGAACACTTTCTTCTCTCTTCTTTTTGGATGGTTGATGGTTTGGTATCCATTGCTAAAATGTGTGGATATCAAATCAAAGTCCAAACATTGCTTTCTTTTAGAATCATATAAATATTATAGTTAGTAAAGCTGCCATTTAACCTCATTGTCTGTCCTTGTTGGATCGGTTAAGGGAGAGGGTTGTTGTTTAAAACAGTCATGATTGTGTAACTTTGCGAGTGCGTATAGTATTGCCAAGTTCTGTTAAGCGAGTTCAACGAATTACTGAGGGATGGCAAAACCATGCATGGCTCGAGCCTGGCATAACATGTAGATCGGATACAAAAGATAACTTGAAAAGTGGACTTGTGTACTGTAACCATTTAAATCATATATCCAACACTACAGTACATAATAACGGTTTTGAAAATGTAAATAGATGGTTATTTTTATGGAAATAAAACTTACTGTTAACTTGCATACACTGTACGTTGACTTTGGATTGGGGGGAAATCAACGTTCAGAAGTACCCAACGACGGTTTCATTGAATTTGTATCTGTTCGCTCATCTTAGGGAACTTGAGTCTTGCCTTGAGTACTAGGGCTTCAAAATTATTTTCCAGAACATTTTAGATGCAATTTAACATATTACGAAAGTGAGGATTTCGCTGATTCCCGGCTTTCTACTTCACAATTGTGAATCTGAAACATGTAAGTTTCTTCGAAATGTAGCCTAGCCTGGGGAATGAAATGTGAAAAATTAAACTTCAGAAAATCGTAGGGAATTTATTAGATAAGCTTCGAAAATTGTAGTGATCGAAACGGTTATCTAGAAAATTTTAGCCGTTCTCAAGAAATAGAAAATTCTTGGCAATATTTGCTTCTCCGAACAGCCATTTTACATAAAACAGTCGTTGGCTGCCCCTAAACGTTTATATGTAGATATTTTTGTCGGTGATACACCTAAAAACAACAGCAGGCCAACCAATTTGTGATTAGCCACACTGGTTTACAATACATTGATTTATGTATAATCCTTTGAGCGCTAACTCTACAACTAAAAACGGAGTTTAAGAATAAGTCCAGGGTATTTGGCTAATGTTGCCGGAGAAGTTGGGCTTCTCAATAATATCATTAAAGAATTACATCGGGGCAAACACATTGATGACATGGCAAGAAACCTCCAATTTGCCTGGAATATCTATTTCCTTCATACGTAAAAAAATTCACCAATCTAAACCGGTCGGTAGGACGATAATTAGGGAGCTTTTAGACTGGTACTCAATGAGTTCTTTGTTTATAAGATCACTTCATTCAATTTGAAGTTGAATACTGGTTACCAACGTCGTGCTGAGTGCGGAGATACCAGTGATGTATGCCGTGCTAACATTACATTCTTTGAGTTCTCGCTGTTGTCTGAGGAGGGTGTTCGCAAACTAGCCTTAGCGAATAAGAAATCGTGCGCACTCTACCCAATTCCAGCGTCTATTCTATCAGTGTGACTGGGCGAGTCCCAGTGATAACTTGAATGTGGATAACATGTTCTTGGAGACTGCATACTTTGCTAATGACTGGAAGTGCGCCTTAGCACACCCTCTACACAAAAAAGGCGGTCAACTCATCAATAAGAACTTTCGTCCGGTGAGCAAGCTACAGTTAATATCGAAACTTACGGCAAAGGCAGTGGCTATCCAGAGCCAATTATGGTGGATAGTGAATTGTTACCCTGTTTACAAAGTGCTTAACGACAAAACATAGCACCGAAATTGCTTTGATTAATGTGAACAACGATTGACTAATAAACATGAATAAGAAGTAGAACACAAACAGGGGTGATTAACATATTCAACTTACTCATTTTCATAAAATTGACGTTTCTTATGCTACTCAACACACATTTTCAAAAGTACCGCTACAATTTTGAAAACTAAACGAAGGCTTCTTGATAGAACAAATTGGCATTTTTAGGCCCTTGCTAAAAAATGACCACACATCAGCCATCGCTGACAATGTCAACACCAATAGACACAACATCAAGTGCAATCATTTTGATATCTTAGCGTCAAAACTGATTTATCGCAGTGTAAAATCAAAGAAACATTGCTTACATAAGAAGTGAACCCAGCTTTCAATGTAAACGTCAGTAGCGAGAAGCTGATGCATTATTTAATTAACATTTTTTTATAGATTAGCTGTTAAGTTTTGTACTTAATTTCGGTCCCAGTCCCTTTTCGCTATTATATAAGTATAGTTTTCAAAATTGTAACGGTAAAAATGTATGTTGAGTAGCCTACGAAACGTCAAGTTTATAAAAAATGAGTAAGTTGAATATGTTTATCACCGCTATTTGTGTTCTATTTCTTATCAAGCTATGATGGCCAAGAACATGGATAAGGGTCTTGTGACAAGTTACTTCTTGTGTTATCGGACAAAGCGTCGCATTCGACACGGTCGATCATGGCAACCTGCTCTTGCAGTCACTGTTGGGCTTACGTTGTAATGCGCTTTTCTTGTTTCAATCTTATGCGAGAGGGAAGAGCGCAGCGTATTTATGTAAACGGCACTCTCTCAAACATTTACTTCAGAATGCAGTGTTCCACACGGCTGATGTTTAGGTCCGCTTTTATTTACGATTTATACTGGCAAGCTGTTTGAGGTTCTACGTTCGCACTTCCCTTCTGAGCATGCCTATGCTGATGACACGCAGCTATATAAACATGTCATTCAGACCATGTGATAGCTTGAGCGAAATCGAAGCCGTGACTGCGTTAGAGAACTGCATTCTTGATGTGCGTGCTTAGGTGAGAGAGGATTTGTTATGGTTAAATTATGAAAAGACGGAGTTTCTATTGGTTGGCAGTCGTCAACAGCTGGCTAAGGTGTCTATAAACAGCATCAAGGTTGGCGAAGCTTATGTGACTCCTGTGTCTTCCGCAAGGAATCTGTGTGCCTGGTTGGACTCCCACCTGGATATGTCTACTCATGTATCCAAAACTTTGCGGCAGCGCATGCTACTATCTTTATAACATTCGTCGTATCAGGAAGTTCCTCTCAAGGAGCATACTGAACAGCTGGTTCATGCCTTCATCACCAGTCGATTGGACCACTGTAATAGGCCGCTTTACAGCGTTCTCGATTGTCAGATAATGAAACTACAACGCGTAATGAACGCAAATGCCAGGCTTATTTACTGCGCCCGTAAGTTTTGTCATATCACCCCAATTCGTATAGAGCTGCACAGGTTGCCAGTGCGTAGGCGCATTAAATTTAAAATTCTTCTTATTGTCTATAAAGTTACATATATCAAGATTCTAACTCCTAAACATCTTTCTGATTTGATAGCAGTTTTACCGTCTTCAAACTATGATTTACTTCATAATTATTATAGCACACTGTTTTCAGTGAGAAGCACAGAGAAGAAGAAAACAATGGGTGAGTGGTTGTTCGAGAACGCAG